AATCAGACTGGTGGACATTGTGGAGAGAAATATAGAAGCAGAGTAGGCCTTTTCCCTATGTGTTTTATTAGAGAAAGTGGTCGTGAGTGACAAGCACGTACATTCGGGAACTGCAGACAGTTCATACTGTACCTGAGCGGCTTCATTAGCCAAGACTTTGTCTCAGTCCACGCTGGTTTCTTACACAGGGATCCAGTCTGGAGGATCTGCTCCTCTCTGTGCTGAGATGATTGGCACATGGAACAGAATGGCCAGTATTCAGCAGGACTGAATCGGCTATGTGAGATATGAAGACACTGAAATCTATATTCAGGTCAACTTTCAAACAACCTCTCGGAACAAAATTCAAAAGCAGTATTGGAATACAGAACATGGAGTTGTGATTACACTTCCACTCCGCATCCATCACATACTGTGGGGTCTGGAAAGTGGAGTGATGCAAAGAGTAGATTTTGTTATAGAAAATATCAAATGGAGTTCAGCTAATCAAATTCAGCAAATTGGTCTATTCCATGCACAATAAAATAGGATTTAGTTAAATATTCCAACACAGATTACCTTCTTTATAACATCTACATTAATGCATTTAATAGAAGCTAATATGCAAAGTGACTTATACTGCATTCAAGTTTCATGACTTCCCTGGGAATCAAACCCATGACCTTGGCATTGCTATCGTCATGCTCTACTGTTTGAGCCCAGCCAACAAAGTTCAGCCAATCTATTGTTTTCATGTATTTGGCAAATGCTTTTATCAAAAGTGATTTATATTGCTTTCAGGGTACATGTTTTATTTCAGATTACACTTCTCGTTTTCTCTGAGAGTCGAACCCATAACCTTGGCATTGATAGCAGCATGCTCTACTGTTGAAGCTACAGAAAGTAAAATCGTGCAATGAAATAATCCAACAAAAACTAAATATTGATATTTAATAAAAAATATTGATACTGATATTTTTCATTAAAATATCAACCAATCAGGTGTTGAATTGTTAATCGTGCAAGATATCTGACATGCATGTAGCCCATTTTTAAAAGATAATTTAAACAAATACACCCAAAAACCATGCCATTAAAATTACAATTAAAGGGATCGTTCACCCAAAAATGAAAATGCTGTCATTAATTATTCACTCTTCATTTATCTTCGAACACAAATTAAGATATTTAAGATGCATTTTTGTGCGCAAAGAAAACAAAAATAATGACTTTTCGTCTCCTCCGCGTTACCCTGTAGTGCCATTTTGGAGAGTATCACATACGTAAACAACGTATGCTGTTCTGTGTCAGCAGCACTGTACGCGGATATGCTGTTTACGTTTTGATCTGAAAGTAAACAATGTATCCGCCTACATACGTTACGTATGTTGTTTACGCATGTGATACTCTCCAAAATGGCACTATAGGGTGATGCGGAGGAGACTTGAATTAAGTCGTTATTTTTGTTTTCTTTGCGCAAAAGTATTCTCGTAGCTTCGTAAAATTACGGTTGAACCATGGATGTCACATGGATTATTTTAACGATCTCCTTGCTATGTTTCTAAGCCTTGATCATGTAAGGATCCTTGCTGTCTATGGGAGGGTCAGAGAGCTCTCGGAATGCATCAAAAATATCTTAATTTGTGTTCCGAAGATTAACGAAGGTCTTACAGTTTTGGAACGACATGAGCGTGAGTAATTAATAGGGTTGCAAAGAGGTGGAAAATTTCCGCAAACTTTCCAAAAATCCCTGGAAGATTCCAAAAAATCCTGGAAAGTTTCCAAAATTTACTGGAAATGTTCCACCTTTTTGCAACCCTAGTAATTAATGACAGAATTTTCATTTTTGGGTGAACTATCGCTTTAAGAATAATTAGGGCTGCATGATATGGAGGGGGAAAAAAGTGCTATATATACAATAAACTTTGAAAAACGCAATGGTGATAAACAACACACGATCATCTTATAAATAAATTAATAAACGTATGAATAATGTCTCAAATCAATTTAAAAGATTTTTATGTACTACTTTATTTACATAAATGACATCTGGAACATTCAATTTAAACAAATTATGGAGAGAATGTTTCTTTTTTTTTTCTTACAAAACTTTCTCCACTCCCATATCCCAATCTTCTCAAACTACATATTTTATGTAGCTGTTGTAGTACCAGAGATGTCAAAAGTACCAGAACTTCAATTAATTACTAATCAACAGTCCTCAGTGTAATCGATCAAATTATTAAATGATAAACATCACTTTAAGATTAACACAGTCTCCTAGCTTCTATCCTAGACTATAATGTAGTTTCAACGGCCTTAAACAAACCCAGAGTGTGCGAAATATTCAAAATCACTCTAATCCACGGATTCTGAAGCTTTAATAGTTTTTTCATGGTTGGTTAAATGCAATTCATCAGAAATTTGCCATATACTGCACAAGATTTAATGCACTTAATGTAAGTGAGGTCAAATGCGTGAGAGAAAGACCTTTGCGCTCCTCGTCTGTGTGCATGCGGCATGGTACAGAATACGTTCAAGACACGTGGCAACAATCTCACACGTCCGGAACACACAAGCAGGCATAATGTCTTGACTAAGCACTTCCATATGGCGTGACTGCAGCCTGATTTTTCTCTGTGCGCTAAAGTCCTGTGGGTTGTAAAGTGTCTGTTTTTGTGACCGCCCCGGTGATCACGACTTCCAGTAAGGTCTTACGCAACGCAACGGCGTGTGTGATCCGACCGGACGGTCTCAGCAGCTCACATCTCACTGAGGAACGAGATCTAAAGCAGCACAAAGCAGTCATTCCAGCTGCCTGGTCAGGTACAAAAACCCTGACCAGCATATTCCAGATCATCTTTTATTCAGAGCCAACGTACCATTAACCCAACCTCTAAATTTATAACGGCAAACCCTGCCAGACAAAACGTGTGTTCAATGGTCTCTGATGTGGCCGTACGCCCCATAGGGCCAACCTTACTATTTGAGAAATTCACGAGCACTCAAAACTGCCTGGAAACGCACTGCACAACAAAAAAGGCTGGGAGGTAATAGCATGTGAGAGAGCTGTCTGACTTTGACTGACATGGGAGCCGTTTTAAAGCGCACACACACACGCAAGGCTAGAGCGCATGAGAAAGAGTGTAATGTACTTCTTGCCAAATTGCTATTCTGATAGTGTCTGAGCCAAATAAATTAAGACTGTATATTCTACTGGCACGTTCGAAGCAAAATTATAGAGGTTAATCAAATGTGCGCTGTAAATCCCCGGCCTGCCCTCCAGCTGAGTGCCAATTGACAATGTGGAGTTTACAACACAACAGCAGCACGTCTGATGAATCTTTCATAACACACTCAATCTCTATTCTAAAAAACAGCGATATGCATGACTTACAAGAGTCAGAGAACTCGATTAATTAAGAGGATACAGGGCTGGAAATTGTCTGTAGGGTTAAAACAAAAAGTTTGCAGTCAAAACTCAAACCCTCATTTTATCAGATTTTTCAATAGTGATGCACCAGAATTGTCTGCAACTGCAAATAATAAAATTATTATTCTAAAATTGCTTGTGCCTAGAACATTTTTTTTTTAATTAACTAATGACTATGCTGTAAATGTTTATTTTCCGACGTTGGAACTAAAACAAAGATTGTTGCAGTATGTTTTACAAGAAAATAACATTTCAGTGTTACTTGCCATTTCTTCGTAATTGTTTGTGGAATTTACTTACAGTGAAATAGTTTTGTTTTTTTTCTTCAGTGTATATAAACATCAAACATCTAATAACAGAATAAAAATATAATGTAAACAGTGAAATGAAACATGCCAGTGTTTTTAACTGAATCATAATGCAATCAATCATTTTTCAAGAAATTAAAAGGGTGCATCATTAATTTTCATCTGTAAAGAGATTTCAAAAGTTTTAAAATGCCCTAGGTTTCAAAGTAAGGTTTTAGACAAAATGAAGAAAGCATTAATTTTTATAACTTGACGATGACTCCGCATTGACGAGACAAAAAAAAAAAAAAAACACATTTAAATAAACAAGGACAATACTAGTGCTGTCTGATAAATGATTTTTTTTTTAATTGTTCAGTTGTGTACATTTAATTGTTAATCAATCAGTGAAGCTATAAAAATGTGCTGACCCAATAATCTACTAAAATAAAATAAAAAATTAAATAAAAATACACACATGCATACATACATACATAAATAAAAAAGTAAATAAATAAAAAATCTGAGCCAAGTTTAATCCAGCAGGGGCATGTCTGACTGTGACATGTATACAGTATATTGCCATTATTATTATTTGTAAAACTCTTCATTGTTGATCTTGAATGATAATGCAAGTTATTCAAATCCTTACTATTTTTTGGTGTAAATGCATGCTGATATTTTCTAAACCTTTTCTAGGGTGTTTCCAAACTTTTGGAAGGCACTGTAACATTTCTGGGATGAGCTAAATTATGCATATTACAACATGCAGGTAGCATAAGAGTGTGATAATGTGTTGTTGCTGCATCCTCTTAGTTATTGATGTATATTACAAACCTCACAGGAAGATGGACAGTCCTTCATGAATTATTCACAGATTATGCCCACTCACAACCTGTGCTTTTCAGCTTCAAAATAGAAACAGGTCAAGAGGGTGATGGGCAAAGGCAGCAAAACAACATTTCTTTACAGGCTAGGAAAACACATTAATGCGAAAAAGGCACCAAAGAGGATCAAGGTATCGTGAAAATATATTTGTGCGGTGTGACCGTGCTATCCCTGCCCGATGAAGTCAGAAATGGTTTTGTTTGTCCTCTTGAAAGCAGAAATAGACCCAGACGGAGCTTGTGAAGTGAGACAGACCAGAGAGAAATCAAAAGCCTTTTTGATGGAGGTCACCTAACCACCTGTGCAGCATTGATTGACAGTTCTGACTGCTTACCAATTTACTGTTGGGACGTGAAGCTGTACGTGCACGAATCAGTTTCATGGTCAGATAGACACTCTAGACAGACACTCACCAAACAAATTGCTGGAGTGGCCTTGCTTAGAGACGGGACGCAGTTCGTTGGAGCCCCAGGCGTAGCGCTTGTAATTATCCCAAGAAAACTGCATCATCTGAGGAGAGAGTGAGAGATGAAGAGGTTACCTTTGTGAATTTTGGTTAATTTCGTCACAGCAAAGGTAAAACATCACAGAACAAAAAGTAAAATGAATGTGTCAACAACTAACATACAAGTGACTGGGCTAATCAAGGATCAATAGCATTAAATAATTTGATTAAATCAACAGTTGAAATGCTTAATGGATCCATTGCAGCACAAATACGCTTAATTAAGAGAGAAAAAAAATATCAATGCTCACATATGTCAGGTATAATTTTATTTGTGGATAAAAATGGGCTATGTGCACTAGGCTTGCCGCGATAGACAGTGCTGATGGTGATACCGGTGTTAAGCTGCAACACCGGTTACGTCACTTGCTCACCGCGGCACCGACCCCCACCGTCGTTTTCATTTTTTATAGTAACAAAAATCATTTAGTTCAGTAAAAGAACAGACACTACAATTAAAAACTGAACGCAGCTGCTCAATGCAGCGTGCCGAACAACAGTCGCATCACAGATCAGATTTCATTTCTCCAGTGAGGAGAGTGAGTCGAGCTGACTGACAAGAAGAGTGAGGTGAGGTGAGACAGACAAGACGATGGGAGATGATTTAGTTTCGAAACGAGATGCAAAAGCGCCTGTTTGGCAATATTTTGGATTTTGAAAAGCCTGTTGACTTTTGCCGTTTATCTAAGGTGATTTTGGAAGTTTTTTTAAACATTCGTTTCTTATTTAATTGGTTCCACATTGTTTGCTGTTAACCGGTGGGAAAATTTCCTCACCGTCACAACCCTAATGTGCACATGGTTTTTGAGTCCTACACAGATTTTGTACAGTAGCATTAACAACCAATTAATCATTAATGTCAATAAAAATGACCAGGGTTTCTGCAGGATTTTTAAGCTCAGATTGAAGACTTTTTAAAGTCCGTGTAAAGAGAATTCTGAGAATTGTTTCTAAACACATTATAAATGTTAGAAATGTATTGCAGAAACACATTACAAAGACTCTGAAGTAAGTATGTAGTACTGAATTGTGGAGTTAAACCGTTAAACAGTTTTTCAACAATTCTGTGTTCAGTATTTTTTGGGCGGGGCTAAACTGGTGGCTCGATGACGCAATGGAGCCACCGAGCATGGCCCCTCCCCTAACACTATAAGACGTGTGTTCGACTTGAAGCAGCTATAGAGAGCAGACAGCTCCTCATGCTTTCGAATTGCTCTCGTCTCATACACTGATCGTTCTGCACAGCTCTGCTTCAAGTCGAACACACCTAATAACTACAGTGCAGTGGTTTGCCCGCTCAATCGCAAGTTCCTGCCGTTCGTTACTACAGCCTAGAGGTTGCTAGCTAGCTATGCCTTCGTCACGTAAATGCATAATACCTGGTTGCAATAATTTACAAAACAGCTCGGCCTCCTCATTTAATTAAGCTGCAGAGGAAGACGGTTGAGAGAGAGACGGCAGCTTTTCCGTGAGTGGCCGTGGTTTCAGCGCCGCCAGCGGACTGATTTTGATAGCTTATTTTATTCACTTGGCTGGGTTTTTTTTAGCATTCAAATTTTGTTGGATGGTTAATAACACATTTTTCTGTGGTCTGATAAACTCAGAACACACATTTAATATTGACTTTACACGGACTTTAAGACCTTTTTTAAGCCCTGCACAAATAAAATTAATACCATATGATCGGGATAGAGCAATGTCTATGTTACACATGAAACTCTAAAATGACTGTAAAAAGTATGATTTACAGTTTGCAGGTTTTCACATAGGGCTGGACAATATGGCCTAAATTTATATCACGGTATATTTCTTAATTTCAGTCGATACGATATAATTATCGATATCGATATGAAAGCTATTTATCTGAAATAGAAATATTTTGTAACATTATAACTGCCTTTATCATCACTTTTGATCAATTTTAAGCATCCTTGCTAAATAAAAGTATTAATTTCTATAATTTCTTTCCCAAAAAAATTATAAAAATTATAATGACTCCAAGCTTTTAAATGGAATAGTGTATGTTACAAAAGCTTTTTATTTCAGATAAATGCTGATCTTTGGATATTTCCATTAATCAAAGAATCCTGAAAAAAAAAATGTACTCAACTGTTTTAAATATTGTTAATAAGCAAATCAGCATATTAGAATGATTTCTAAAGGATCATGTGACACTGAAGACTGGAGTAATGATGCTGAAAATTTAGCTTTGATCACAGGAATAAATTTAATTTTAAAATCGATTCAAATATTTCAAAATGTTACTGTTTTTCCTGTACTTTGGATCAAATAAATGCAGCCTTGGTGAGCAGAAGAGAATTCTAAAAAAAAAGAAAAAAAAAAAAAAACATTAACAATCTTACTGTTCAAAAACTTTAGACTGGTAGTGCAGGCTGATTATTCATATAGATTGAAACAAATGTGCTTCAGCCAGAAAAAAAAGGGTATGGAAATTGCTCCGAGTCGCTGCAGAAAACAAAAAAAATTGAACAACAACAACAACTGGAAACGTTGCTGGAGACGGGCTTATTATTGAAAATGCAAACTCATTCTCTGCCAGCAGGAGGCGCTTTTAGAGTGATAAAAGCGGTTTCTCCAGTAATGGCTGTAATCAAATCAGCTGCATGAACGCTACTTTATCAGATAAAAATGAAAATGTCATCGAAACTTTTCTGAAGGTTCCCTTCAGAGATACATTCATATAAAACACCCGCGCCGCGTTTTGATTTTGAAACGTGCAGTGCTCATGTTTATTCAACGAAGTCAAACGCCACAAATAAATCAATGCATGGGAAACACTGGTAATGTATATCGAAATATCGGAAATGTGTTTAAAAATCATATCACCGTAATTGAAAAAAAATTAATTCGCGATACATATTGATATTGAATTATTGCCCAGCTCTATTTTCACAAAAACAAAAAGTTTTATAAAATGATACACTTCTTCACACTTCAGCCTTTAAACCATTAAGAAAATGGATGAGTCAAAATGATCAATTATTATATTAATTTAAACCATTATTATCAATAAATTATGTTAATTAAATAACAAATATATTTTACTTAGATTTTTATGATGCATTATATTCTTATCAACCCACCAGTTCACATTTACAGCTCTGTGTGTTTGCAGGGTAAAAACATGGGTCGATTTTCGCATTGGTCTGAAGAAAAACAACAAGCTTATTGAAAATGCACATTCATTTTCTGCCAGCAGGTGGCACTTTCGGAACGGCAGAAATATAGCGGTTTCCCCCAGTAATAGCAGTACACAAAGCACCTGTGCAGTGCTCATGTTTATTTAATGAAATCATGGGCTTTTAAAGTTTAATCATCAAATTAAGCCATATCACAATTCTGGTCTTTCCGTCCGCAAATTTAAGACCTCTTGAAATCATAATTAATGATTTCTCCCTCGTCGATCAAGTACTACATCTGCTCAGGCCCGCTGGGTTCGCTACTTTTCCCCTACAGCCTGCGAAGATTTTACTACTGCTTATAAGGCAGCCGATGAATTGTCAGCTACAAATTGGTCTGTAGAAAGCTTTGACGCTAATACACATTTTAATCGTTTTAATAGCACCTGCTTGAATATTGTCAACAACATTGCTCCTTTGAAGATCAAGCGTTCCATCAAAAAATCTGCTCCTTGGTTCAATGACTCTATTCGCTCACTCCGACGAAACTGCAGACAAGCAGAACGCAAATGGCGTAAGGACAGGTTGCAGGTGTCCTATGACATTTTAAGGGAGTCCCTTTCTATTTTTCAGAAAGCTGTCAAGTCTGTGAAATTTAAATTTCTTTCAGAGATTATTTCAAAAAATCACCATAGACCAAGAGTTTTATTTTCAACTATAGATGCTGTTTTAAATCCAGCTGTTGATGTTTTCCCTGATGTGTCTAATCTCTTATGTGAAAACTTTGTGGCCTTTTTTGTCGAGAAGATAGCAAGGTCAAGACCACAATCATTGGCAGCTCTTCATATCTCTCCTGAAATAATTGGGTGCTCTTCTACTTGGAGCATGTTTAGTTTCATTTCCCTTCAAACCTGTAAAGACATTATTGATCATCTGAAACCTACTTTTTGTCCCAGCATTTTTTTTTTTCTGAAGGATCATGTGACACCAGGGCTGTACGGCTGTACGTTTTCCACATAGCACTGGTGCTACAGAGGTTGAAAGTTTTGTAGCACAGGCCAAAAAGTTGTAAAAGTTGTATAAAACGTCTGTTATCATGTCTGAAAACAAACATAAGTAATAGAGTTCATCACTTAAACAGACATTGATGTTCCAAAGAGCACAAAAAATACAAACCATCACAAAAATTG